TGCGACGCACTGAAGACTCGTCAGCCAACATTAAACTGCAACTGTCTGATAAAGCTGCGCTTTTGATGTTTACTCCATCGCATGTGATGAGAGCACCGATGCGTTTTTCTTGTTAATACACAGAGTACACACCGCTGTGCACAGCGCACGCGCAAAGTCAGCTGATCTCATCTGATGCAGATTTGCTCCTTGATCAAGTGACATTTGATTTTTGCCACGAGTGGCGTCGGATCAGCACCACAGCTGGACAGCTGATACTCACCAGAATAATTCACTAAAATGATGCACTCCTGTTATTAAGTCCAGTTCAGTCTGTTAATGTTGATAACGGTTTCAAACGGACGTTAACAGATGTGTTGCTAAGTCTAATGTAACTTCTGTCGGTGCTGTGCTTTTTGGAAAACAAATTTCCCAGAGGAACCCACCCGAGGGATTAATAAAGTTTTATCTTATCTTATCTCTTATCTTAATAACTTAAATAACAAGCTTGAAATGTACCCGTCCATCTTTATTGTTTTTCTCTGTGCTGTAAATCAGAAATCTGAGGCTGTTGTGAGAATGAGCTACCAAAGCTTTTTCTGGATAAATCAATAAAGACCCATTTATGGAAAGCTGTGATGAAGGCAGTTTTGTCTTTAATTATATTCAACAATACAACACATTTGACCACTTTTAAGTGATTGTTCTAACTTTAATATAAAGTTAAGGTTATATACCTCATTTCTCCTAAGTGGCCCCGCCCCTCCTATATTTTTTATGTATGTGGCCCTCAGTGAAAAAGGTTTGGACACCCTGGCTTAGACTCTTAAGTACTTTCTAGACAAGAAAGAATATTTTCTATCCTTTTAAAGCTGCGGAAGCCTTAATCAGCACGGAGTGCTGCAGGGATGACCTTTTTTGTAGGCCAACCCAGAAGGTAGCATGTCTTTAGCATCCCAATGACTTCTTTGTCAGTTCCTTATACAAAAGTATGTGACTTTTGGATTATCAGAGAAAAAAGGTTCTGTGGGAAACACTAGTTTATAATACTTGCACACTGGTGAGCAGAATTAGGTCGATGAGCTGAAGACATTTTGTGATTTGCAATTGCGAGAGTTCAGCAATCTGTTTGTTAAGTGATTCAATTATGATCCTGTTTCCATTTTTCCTCGGATGTGTGAAGCAGTCTCAGATCATTTTACTGAAATTGAAAGAATTTGGACTTTTAGCTCTTTGTTATGCTTCAGCTTTAATTTGCTTTTGAACAACGAAAGATCTGGAAATGACTGATGAAGCGAAACTTAACAAGCGGATAAAAAATGACGCTCCTTTGTTTGCTGAAAGTAAACTGAATATACAGGTGAAAATACAGATACTTCGTTTATTACTATTGGTGTTTCATTTTTCAACATATTTTTTACATGTCTGGGTCTACTGTTGGTGAAAAATAGTGACTAATGTGAGTTAACCTCCATCAGGCGGTTGCCAAACTGCATAGCATAAATTTAGAGATAGCATATGGCTTAACTGTAACCTAACGAAGCTTAATCTCAACAACAGAAGATTCTAACTTTTAAGCAATTTTCAAACAGTCCAGTGGACTAAGATGTGACGCTGGCTTCCAGCCATACCACCCTGAACATACCCAGTCGTGTCTGAGCTTGGAAGCTAAGCTGGGTTGGTCCTGGTTAGTGTTTGGAGGTCGCTCGTGCAGCTGTGGGCTCAGTAGATAGAACTGGTCGTCTACTAATTGGAAAGTCAGAGGTTCTGCATCTGCAAGTATCCTTGGAGCAGATACTGAACCCTGAGTTGCTCCTGGTGATCTGTGTAAACGAATCAACAGCAACATGGTGGTCTTACCTTATAGAGGGCAAACGTTCTCACGCTGTACGTAGCCAGCTCCAGTGTGTCCAACATGGTCACTTGAATCATCCCGTACGTCTCCGTGCCTCGACTGGGCCAATACTGGTCACATTTCACCTGCAAACAGAGACAAAGGACTGTTTAGCTCTACAACCAGTGGTGTTGGAAGTGGAGTAGGTGTTGATAGAGAGATCGGTTGGTGCAGTATCTGCAGTGATGTGACTGCTGTGCTGGTCTGTGACCTTACCTTTGGCCTCAAGCTGTAGACAGTGACTGAAAGAACAGGATCATATATGCACATGACTGAAACAAGCACCTTTCTAACGGTGTCTGGTCTCGGGTAATACCTTGGTATCCCTCTGGAAGAGCTGAAAGAGGGGGCTGGGGAGAGGGAGGTCTGGGCATCTCTTCTGAGATTGCTGGCCTGTGACCTGGACACCTGAAATGTGGCCCTTATTTGCAGTGTTTTTGGCCACCGTTGGTCTAAACTAATGGTGTTGACTTAGGGTAAGTTTGGCTTCCTCAACTAGGTTCCACTGTAGACGGTAGAACTTGTGGTATTTGGGGCACATCACATTTACCAGGGCTATATCAAAGCTAAAAGTACCATAAGTAGTCTAGATTAGGCCCAGGCGTACATGCCATTGGGATACCTTTTTTAACACGTGAACTACCGGCAATATCGGGAGAGTTGGGTCGGGTGATAGCCAGATTTGTTTTTTCAGCCCGGTGTGATGATATTTAGATTCTCTAATGTTCCTCCATCAGATAATCACGAACAAGCTCAGGGCTGCGATGCCTGTGTGGAAACAGCTTCTACAGAAAGTAGTAAAACATGTCTGAGACAGGTAAGTCCTTATGCATGCTGCATGTAAGAATGGAGAACTCAACAATGCTCCGACCTGACTCTCCTGATGTATTCATTCCTATGTGAAAATGGATTTGGAAAAGGACTCAGTGATTGCACCATAATCATAATCGTAGACCTTACAACCCCAAGCTTGCAGGATGATTTACTTCACATGGCCCCCAAATGATTATTGCTGAGGAAGCTGCATGTAATAACTAATAAGAGAAGGTCGTTGGTGTATCTAATGGCAGCCTCTGATTGTATCGTCTGTAAGTAATGGCAGGATGTGTTCATTTGATTGTGGGCTAGCACATTAGCAGGAAGTGTGGACAGACAGGTTGTCACCTCTGCTCTCAGGTTAGAGAGCGTCTAATATTTGCTGCTGGTTGAACCACCGACGGCTGTTATTGGCTCTGGCAGAGGGCTGATGGCCACTGTCACAAATAGTAATGGCACAGTGCTGTGGCACTCAGCTCTGCCCTGTGGTTGTGGAGTTATTAACAGTGAGAATGAGGGTTTCACATCATTACTCACATGAACGCCGTTTCTACCCTGCTACCTGCCACGTGATTCCACGGGCGGCGTGCTGCTGCTGAGCCAAGCTCATCAGTGCTGCGAGTGAGCTACGTTCAGAGCAGTAAATCAGAGGATCGACAATCCTCTTCCAGCCTCCTGTCTTATATTTGTCTTCTCCTATTTGTAATGTATTTTCCATTGTGAGAGAATCAATGAATTTCATCCCGACAGCAACTTTGCTCTGATATTCTTAAATTATGGGTTGCAGCGAGCCACCACCTCTCTCCCTCCATCAGCTGGGATGATGCCTTTTTGTATGACTACAACATATTGTGTCAAAATCAATAACGCCTCTTTGAAATTTTCATCAAACCCAAAAATCACTTTATTTGTAAGACATTTTGCTCTACATAAAAGCACCTCCACTGCACCTGCACGCTAACACGATAGTTAACAGGCAATGGAAGTAAAAATGAACATCAATGCTGCAGGAGAGGAGGAAGACCGAGAGCTTCGTTACTGAGTTTAAAGTTGTGTGTCACTTTGTATCCACATACCAGCAGATACGGAGCTGTGGATGGGAAAAGTCCTTGAACTGAAAAGAGGCATACAGCTACAGCACAATAAGTTTCTTCAAGCCAAATCTCAACGTGATGGAGCTCGACAAGGAGCAACACAAATAACTGAGCAGGGAT